AAAGGGGAGGGAGTGGAGGGGGGTATGCTTTAAGGGCATGTCTTTGTGTGGACGCCGATCTAAAGTGCAAGTGTGGAACATGTCCTTCCAAGGAAAAATGTCCTTTTAAGAGGCAGAAACCTTGGACAGACATCGGCTCAAGGTGGGCGGTCGTTTGCCTCGACCAGTTGGGGGGGGGAAGGAAAGCATATATAAAGTGAATAGAATTGGTCCAAGTACAGAACCTTGTAGAACTCCATGACTAACTTTAGTATTTATGGAGGATTCATCGTTAACGTGTACAAACTGAGAACAATCTGATAAGTATGACTTAAACCAGCTTAGTGCGGTTCCTTTAATGCCAATTTGATGCTCAAGTGTCTGGAAAAGAATATTATGGTCAGTGGTGTCAAATGCAACACTAAGATCTAATAATACAAGTACAGAGATGCCATCACAATTTGTCCCTTGTCAAAGTGGCTCAAATCCTTACGCTGCCCATTTTTCCTGCTTTTAACACATCAACTTTGAGGACAAAAGTGTTTACTTGCTGCCTAATATACCATCCACTGACAGGTGCCATGATAACGATATAATCAGTGCCTCAGTGTGCACTAGACTTGGCCTGTGTGTTTGTGTGTGTGTGTGTGTGTGTGTGTGTGTAGGTGTGTGTGTGTGTGTATTAAAAAGATGGGAAAGTGCAAAGTGCTCTCTCACACTCAGTGATTGCACTGATCTTCTCTATTCTCAATCCGAAGTCTTTTTTTGCATCTTTTTATAATGGATAGATGTCAGATCTGCCCAAATTCCAGTGCAGTGTATTACTTTTTTGAGATGTGACTGAACAAGTCTCAGAAGTAAATTACAGCAGCAACCATTTTCTTATGCTTACACAGTAAACAGCACAATACTACGAGGTACACTCTTCAAGGTATCTCCACTTTTATGTTCACTTGCACAGATGTGAAAGGCCACTGCACTGTTATTGGATTTAATTGCAGTGTGTGCAACAAATGAGAGAGGTGGACCCCTTGTCCAACCTAGCCTAACTGGGTTTCAACAGAGAGACTAAACAGACATTGAGCTTTTGCATTTTTTGCCCACTGTTGCTCTGAAAGGGCCTTTATAGTAATGGTCACAGGGTGACCTTTTATAGTAATGGTCACAGGGTGAGGAAGGATTCAGGATTCAACTTAATGCCATCGTTTGTTCCAAGAAGTCGGCAACTACCACTTCCTGCCAAATGACATAATGCGCATGTGAAGGATGGCAAACTATGACTATTACTATGACTCAGTAGTAGTCTCCCTGAAATTAACTTTTACTAAACAAGAGAGTTTCATCAGAAGAACTCTACCACACTTGTATCTGTGCATTCAGTATGAAGTCATAGCCAGGAGATAGTTAGCATTGCTTAGTGTTAAGACAAGAGGCAGGGGCGGTGGGGCACCCAGGCTAGCACCATGTGTCAAGGCTCAGCAGCAGCCTGTTCTCGAATCGGGTCGAAAAAAAAAGGTGATGAGATTAGACCAGCCTTTTGTATTCATTATTGTTTGGTTACAGATTAAAGAAACAAATGAATTAGTCTGCTGTAGAGGTATTAGTGGTTGTATTTTTTCAACTTTGGACAGAGCCAGGCTGGCTCCCTCTGCTTCAAGCCTTCATGCTAAGCTAGGTTAACTGGGGCCTGACTCCAACTCTATACATGAACCTGATATTAATCCTTTCATCTCACACTCAGAAAGAAAGCAAACAAGTGTACCCAACCAAACAAAATCTTATTATGAAGGTATACTTCAGGACAAGACCTTGAATATATTCACTAACCTCCTCATCCAACAATCTTATTTGTTGGATAGATGTGTGCATGTATGAATGTGTTGTCTGTAAAATGATATACAGCAACTTACTTTTTCCTCCTCTCTCGTTTCCACACAGCATGTAGATGTGGAAATATGGGTAGGTGTGCCTTCACTCGCTGTCTGTGTTTGTCATTTTTGTCACCATCCTTTCATTATTACAGTCACTGTCATGAGCATCAGCAGTATGAGCACTTAGCAGATTTGCCATACACGTCTTTTGTTGTTTTCTATTGAGTGTCAACCTGTTGGAGGCAATGGAGATTTTAGATATGACCTTATCAATGTGGAACCTCTGTATTGACAGATATGCTAGCTGATGTAGAGACAGGCACAACATTTACAGGTACTCAAGTCAATTGTATTTATACAGTCCAATATTACATTGCTTCAAGAGGCAAGACAATGTGCACCACCTACCCTAGCTCAGTGGTTCCAAATCTTTTTCCTTTATTGACCCCTTTTCAGTCATTGAGTAACATGGATATTTCATATTATATTCAATGCATAACAATAACAGTACAGAACAACTGATAAAATAAACAATTCCCAAATAGTAAACACAATAACTAATGGAGGTTTGTGTAAAATGAGCAATTTGGATGGATTTGAGCAGATTATTTACTGTGAATATTGGGGAAAGAGAGATGGGGTTTCCTGGTAATTTTAGTAACTTTTAATACAATTATGTATGTATTGTGTATGTTTTTATTTTGTAATTTGTCATTTTTTAACAATCATGCATACTTAATAGGCTTCTTTTAAAAAAAAAAAAAAAAGCTGACATGTATATTTTTTTATGTTTTCTTACACTATAAAATCAAGAAAGTCCCGCAAAAACCCCTGTGAAGCTTTGGCAACCCTCTCTGTTTTTGCACTTTGTGTCCATAAACCGTTACGAGAGACATAACATAACTATTCTGTCTACTGACCAAAAGATGTGACCCTCTCTGACGTGCTGCAGTCAGCTCATCATTTCTGGTTACCCATGCTTCTGTGATGCTGGTAGCGTATTTTTGCTGCTCTAGCTTAACCCAGTTAATTGTCTTATATTCTTCATTACATTGGATAATTACCCACTATAAATTTATACTAGGTCGGCTCAAGCACTCATAGCTTTCTCCTTTTTAGTGATTTTGTTGCTAATTCCACAGTTGTTTACACAGTACTCAGTTCTGCTAGCTAGTAGCTAAAGCACTTTAGCTTAGCAGTTAACAATGTTCTGCTCTCTGTTGCTTGGTGTGCCAAATGTTTAGCTTTTTCACTGCCTCTTTTAGTGAGAATGGTACATTATTTGGCATGCTGGATGCAAACTTTGAATTGGAAATGCAGCTCCACACCATGAAAGCTAAACTGTTATCCCTAGTAGCCAATGTAGCTCCTGATGATTTGGCGCTATTAAATTGCTTCCACATGAGCTTTTTTAGATTGCTCGATCCTGTGGTTCGTCAGTGAAGTGTATGAACAACACTGCAGACTGGAGTCTCTGTTAAGTGACAGACACACAGATTGTTTAGCATTTATACACAGTCTCCACTATGAAACATGGTCTGTAGTGTCACTGCATTATGATGAACTGGTTGTGGGTCGTCCATCGTTTCTCCCTCATCTCCTTTCAGTTCTCATGCAGTAGTTCTGTGTTGTTGACTGTATATAGTTGCCTTGGTGTTCAAGTTTGCTGTCTGCTGTAATGTATAATGTTCTCAGATTTTTTTCAATTACTCCACTGTTGTCCAAAAACGTATTAAAAACACATCAATGAGCCACACTGTTGTGCTGGGTGATATGTTCCTTCATTACTATGAACATACACATTAATGATGATTAATCCACCATTGAAAATTGTCCCCAACAAATGCACTATTGCCTCCTGTTTGAGTAATGTTTGCTAAAACCTACTGTGAGGATATTTCAGAGCCTTTTTTTTAAAAAATGGAACCATCTATTTGTGGGCTGTTTGTAAAGATTTAGCCACCATAGTTTATCTTACACGCTTGGAATGCAAGCTGTTTTTAGTTGGTTGTAATCTGCAAATTTGTAAATGGTAAATGTACTTGTATAGCGCCTTTCTAGTCTTCCGACCACTCAAAGCGCTTTTCACAAAATTCATGTCTGACCAGCT